CTAACCAGCTAACAAAAGAAAGCCCTATTTCTAACTCTAAAGCATTGGTTGGATCTTCAATTTGTTCTGAATCTGTATCAGATTCAACATCGTTAAAAACATGTTGATCATTAAAATCATCCTTGTAAGAGAATAAAAGTTCAATATTATAATATCATAATAAAATCAACTTAATTAAAACAAATAAATACCACTTACTGTACCATACAGTACTACATACAGTACCCGATCTTTTTTCAAAACTCCAAGATAAACTAAATCTATTCTTTGATACTAAAATGCCAAGATAATTAAATACTATCCTTGGATACTATATTCAGTACTGTACAGTACATATGTACTTGCAACAATAAAATACTATTATTTGTATTTGCATAAAGTGAGCCTTGGTATTCACTTGAAAAAAGGTCTTGATACTTGTCAAAATCAGTCTGTTAAGCAAAATGATCACTATTGCTATACAATAGGCAATAAGAAAACTTAATATTGTTAACTTATATTAAATAAACTTACTTGCAATAGTGAAATATTGTCATTCATATTTGCGTAAAGAAGATCTGAAGCTTCTTGTAATGTTCTCTCAATCGAAGAAGATCCAATAAATCCAGTTTCGTTTAAAAGATACTAATCATTAATAAAATCGAATGTTCAGAGTAAATTAACATTAATAGGTAGCAATGAAAGAGTTTATTCATATTAATTGAGCTAAATACGTATAAAAATCACAGTGATAGTAAAATAATATACATAAGAAAAATCTTGGGTATTAACAGAGATTGATAGGGTTGAAGTTTCCCGTGACATTTTTTAGCAGAAAATATATTGTTTGGCTTGCTTTTTAGATACTTTCTTCTATACTCAATTTAAATTTGTCTGTGACGATACTAAGACGACTATTTCTTTATTACAATGTTATTAGGTTAAAAGATAAAACTGATTATTGTTTTGATTGATCGTTTTATTTATTCGATTATGTCTTTATACATATATTTTAAGCTCTGCACTATTTGCGATTTATTATATTATGCATATTCTGATAAGTACATATTATATAATTTGTAATATATATATTACATGATATATGATATGTGTATATACACATGTATTTATTTAGAAATTTTCTTAAATATTTTACTTTAAAGTAATAATATATTTATTTTTTTTGTAGTACTTAAGTTATGATTATTTAAGATTATATATTTGTTTTGAATTGTGTTCTGATTTTAATAATAAGACTATAGTATAATAAAAGTAATAATAATATAATCTGTATTAATAAATACTAAGAATTAAATTAGATATTACTATATAGAGTAAATTATCATAGCAATAGCTAATATTTCTCAAGTTAACCTAAAATCTAACTAAAATTTTGAGTTAGATCAAATTCAGATTAGAAAATTTTACTCAAAAAAACTTGAATTAAGTTTAAATCAAGTTTAGGTTAAGTATAAATCTGACTCAAACTAAACTCAATCTGATGCAAAATTTAGAGACTTTATTATTATATAATTTAAAAATTATATTTTTGAGCAATTAGTATTAATCATTTAGAATTTAAATAAATAATTATTATAATATTAGAATTAATTATCTAGTATTATACTTCTAACTAAAATTATAGCTAGCTTGAATTATAAAATTATACTATATCTAAAAATTCTGACTAATTATTTACTTTATATAATATGTTATTAGTGAGATTTTTATTAGTATAGATAGTTTTAAATAATGATTTTATATATAAGAGTACAACTAGCTATATATATAGATCTGGTATCTATAGCTTAGTGGTTAAGCTATCAACTCTTTACAAACAAGATCAACAGTTCAAGACTGACT